TAACCAGAAGTGGGCCTGGATGGCTACAAAAGAATCACGACAGAGGCCAGGAGGGCAAGTATTAGCATAAGGATAGTTATGTAGAGGCTCTAGCCTGATACCAGGAGCGGAGTTATAAAAAAGAAGGAAAAACGAGGCAGGCACAATAAAGCAATAATATACCATGTAATAAACAACAACAGCACTTTGGGAGGCAGAGTCGGCGCAGAACACGAGGCATCAAGAGAGACATAAGAAGACCAATACCTGGGCATAACCAAACAGGATGGAGGAAACCAACCAGTACCATTACTAAATGCAATAGACCAGGCCTAGACAGCACGGCGCCAATATTAACACCCAGCTACTTTGGAGAGAAATTGGGCGAGATGGTGGGGAAACAACAGGAAAAAAAGAGAAAAAGAGCATTTCAGTAGAGAACCAAGATCACAAGAACACACATGCCACTAACAAGCCTGGCAACGAGCGACGGACTCAACCAGTATCAAAAAAAAAACCAAAAGAAGGAAGAAAAATGGGATTGTGACTGGCAACACTGGGTTTTAATCTTACTACCGGACTTATAATATTATTATACCCTTGCGCACAAAAGTTTTTCCTTTACCAAGTCTTTGATGGAAAAAATAATTGATCGATGAACAGACTAATTCCCGCTACTTGGGTTTGTGAAGGCCCCTTTTCCCTCAGCAGGCAATTGCAGCACAAGCCTCCCTAAATGGGAGAGAGGAGTTTTTTAGGAGGCAGTCGGACACCTGAAGCTGGGAGCCGCTTGGTTTGGCGGGGAGGTAACGGGCTTTAACAGGTAAAGTTCTCTCGAAGCAATAGCTTTTTTGGCCTCCAAGGCCAACCGGGTTTCTCCTTGTTGTCCCTCGCGGTGAGGAGATACCGGAGACAACCCTGGGCTGCCAGCTATGCATCCCTGCCAGCCAACTGTGCAAGACCAGATAACTATAGTACCTCTGTGGAACCGTAGGATTACAGGGAGGGTGAGCCTCATGGATGCCTATCCAAGCAAACATCCGAAATGTAAGAGATGTGACTCCCTTAGTGGGAGACAGACGTTGGTCCTGGGTTTAAGAGGCTTCTTCCCCTGACCGGTACAAGGTCTCAAACAGGTCCTAGGTAAAAGCTTAGGATCCATAAGCACCCTGAGACTTCGCCATTACTCTGAGTCAGACTGAACAGGTGTCGCCTGGTTCGTACACACCTAGTCCCTCGGGAGGGTTTTCTGTGCATTTAATTAGTCATGTATGGGCACAATAAAGTCTTTTTTTTTTTTTTTTTGTTGGAGGATGGAATCTCGCTCTGTCCCAGGGCTGGGAGTGGCAGGTGGCGGGCGATCCTCACTCACTGCAAGCTCCGCCTTCCGGGTTCACAACGCCATTCTCCTGCCTCAGGCGACGTCCCAGAGTAGCTGGGGACTACAGAGCCCGCATAGCTGTTTACCGCGCCCGGCTAGTTTTTTGGTAAAGTTCGTTAGTAGAGAACCAGAGCTTCGAACTATGTTGAGCTCAGTGATGGTCTAGATCATCCTGACCCCGGTCTCAAAAAAAAAAAAAAAAAAAAAGAATGTACTGTCCCTTGCCTGTTTGCTGTTTACTGATCCCGAAAGCTATTCTGCGATACGAAGCCCCGCTCGGGCCGAAAAAGGACCCCATAGAAACAACGAGGGCATAGGATTCCCTCAACTAGCGACAATGCACATAAACTACGGGGCTGTTGAGCCAAAGACGGGGTTGAATAAGAGAAACGAGCCACCCCCCGCGCGCCCCGCCGACGCCCACCGCCACCGCACGCCGCAAAGCCCCCGCCCGCGGCGCGCCCGCTGGGCGGCCCACCGCCCGCCCCCCGGCCCCGGCCGCGCCCCCGCGGCGCGCGCGCCCCCCCCGGCCAGCGCGGCCTCCCCCGGCTGCCCCGCCCGCCGCCCCGGCGCGGCGCCGCACCGCGCCCGCCCACCTGCCCGCCCCACGACCACCCGTGTAAACCAAGCAGTATAAAGAATCCTTTAATCAGCTGTTTGTCTATTCCTTAGTCACGTAGTAAGACGAGTCAGTGAGGCTGTCTTACTCAGTGGGTTCCTTTGTTCTTCTAAGCGATGAAGCGTTGGGATCCAGTAAAGAGCAAAGGCAGAGTAATTCCGTGTGTGTGTTTTTTATTGAGAGACGGAGAGTCTCGCTACTTTCCCTCACGCTGGCTGTGAGCAGATGGCGCTGAGTCTCGGCCTCAGCGTGCTAAGCTCCGCCTCAGGGTTCACCACAATTCTCCTGCCTCAACCTCCCAAGTAGCTGCGACTACAGGCGCCGGCCGGCCCTCCCGGCTAATTTTTGCATTTTTTTAGTAGAGACAGGGTTCACCGTGTTAGCCAGATGGTCTCACTGTGGGGAAAGAAAGATCAACTGTTAACTGTGGTCTACTATAGGAAAGAAGTAGACTATAGAGAGACTGCCATTTTGTTCCTGTTTTGAGATGCTGTTAATCTGTGACCCTAGGCCGCCCAGACTGTCCGTTGCAAGAGAATGGGCTGTGGTGACTCAAGGTTTAATGGATTTTGGGCTGTGCAGGATGTGCCTTTGTTGTGCTTTGTTAAACAAGTGCCTGAAGGCAGCTTGCTGGTTAAAAGTCATCACCATTCTCTTAATCTCAAGTTCCCAGGGACACGTACACTGCGGAAGGTGGCAGGGACCTCTGCCTAGGAAAGCTAGGCATTGTCCACGGTTTCTCCCCATGTGATGGTCTGAAATATGGCCTTGTGGGAAGGGAAAGACCTGATCGTCCCTCAGCCTGACACCCGTGAAGGGTCTGTGCTGAGGAGGACCAGTACAAGAGGAAAGAAGGCCTTTTGGCGGTGGTTGGCAGTTGAGATAGAGAAAAGCATCCCTGGGCAATGGAACATCTCCGTGTAAAACCCGATCGTACGCTCTGTTTACTGAGACAGGAGAAAACCGCCTTACGGCAAAAGGTGGGACTTGCTGGAGCAATGCTCCTAAAAGGTTTATGGAGATGTTTGCATATGCATATCAAGGCACAGCATTTTCCTTTAAACTTATTCATGTCACAGAGAACTTTATTCATATGTCTTACTGCTGACTTTCTCCCTACAGTGATCCTATTATCCTGCCACTCCCTTATCTTTAAGATGGTAAAGATAATTAACAATAAATACTAAGGAACTCAGAGACCGGTGCTGGCATGGGTCCTTGGTATGCTGAGCGCCGGTCCCCAGGGCCCACGTTTTCTGTATACTTTGTCTCTGTGTCTCATTTTTTTTCTCAAGTCTCTCGTTCCACCTAACGAGAAACGCCCACAGGTGTGGAGGGGTAGGCCACCCCCTCAGTCTCGATCTCCTGACCTCGTGATCGGCCCGCCCAGGCCTCCCAAAGTGCTGGGATTACAGGCGTGAGCCACCGCGCCCGGCCAAGAGTACATTCTTATACCCAGCACGGACAGAAAAGGTGTTTTCCTGGAGGAGGAACCAGGAGTAAGGGAGGAACATAAAAGCAGACAAGGAGTGTGACCACTGAAGCACAGCACCACAGGGAGGGGTTTCGGCCTCCGGATGACTGCGGGCGGGCCTGGATAATATCCAGCCTCCCACAAGAAGCTGGTGGAGCAGAGCGTTCCCTGACTCCTCCAAGGAAAGGAGACTCCCTTTCGCGGTCTGCTAAGTAACGGGTGCCTTTCCAGGTACTGGCGTTACCGCTTGACCAAGGAGCCCTCACGCGGCCCTTATGCGGGCGTGACAGAAGGCTCACCTCTTGCCTTCTAGGTCACTTCTCACGATGTCCCTTCAGCACCTGACCCTATACCCGCCAGTTATTCCTTGGTTATATTAGTAATGCAACAAACAGTAATATTAAAAGCTAATGATTAATAATGTTTATACTTATGATTGATAATGTCCATGATCATCTCCATATTCTATTTGTTATTACAATCGTTCTTTGTTTTCTATTTTCTTTTTTTTTTTTTTTTTGTGAGACGGAAGTCCTCGGCTCTGTCGCCAGAGCTGGAAGTGCCAGTGGCGGATCTCAGCTCCACTGCAAGCTCCGCCTCCGGGTTACGCCATTCTATCCTGCCTCAGCCTCACCCGAGTAGCTGAGGAACTACAGGCGCCCGCCACCCTCGCGCCGGCTAGTTTTTTTGATATTTTTAGTTAGAGGACGGGGGTTCACCCTGTTAGCCAGGATATGGGTCCTCAGATTCCTGACCTCTGGATCCGCCCGTTCTCGGCCTCGCAAATAAGACTGCTGGGGGATTACAGGCCTGAGCCACCGCGCCCGGCCCCTCTATTTTCTTTATTATTCGGAACAGTCTGTGCTTCAGTCCTTCCTTGCCTCGGACCCCCGGGGTAATCCTCCGCCCACGTTCCCGGCACTGACGCCAGGAGGAGCAAGGCAGCCGGGTTTAGGGTATTCACAGTCGCTAAAGTCAGTTGATCGGCTTCCTGCACCCGTAGGGCAGTGGCAGCTACTGTTTAAAACAAGGAGGTCATCCAAGTGCCACAGAATCTAATTACCCGGGTAAGCACGCCGCCGGGCGATGCCGTGACCTTATGGCTTGAGTTAGAAGTTCTGTGGCCTCCCTTTCACTCGTGGACAAACAAGAAGAAAAGCTTGGTTAGTTAGATCAGGCAGCCCTGAAGCTGGGGCCTGAGGTAAGCCTTATTTGATTTCTTTAAAAGCTTTCTCCTGGCCGGGCGCAACGGCTCACGCCTGGAATCCCAGCACTACGGGAGGCTGAGGCGGCCGGATCACGAGGTCAGGAGATCGAGACCATCCTGGCTAACAGGGTGAAACCCCGTCTCTACTAAAAATACAAAAAAACTAGCCGGGCGAGGTGGCGGGCGCCTGTAGTCCCAGCTACTCGGGAGACTGAGGCAGGAGAATGGCGTGAACCCGGGAGGCGGAGCTTGCAGTGAGCCGAGATCCTGCCACTGCACTCCAGCCTGGGCGACAGAGCGAGACTCCGTCTCAAAAAAAAAAAAAAAAAAAAGAAAGCCTTCTCCTGGTCAGCCTCCTAGAGGAGCGTCTCCTTCTTTCCTCTTCTTTGTGGCTTCATATAATGGCTTAGGCGTGAGCAAGAAATTTGGGATTCAAACGCAGCAGAACTTTGCTGCCTCTAGGAACCCTCTTATCGCTGACGCCGGGTGGTTGGAGGAGGAAGGGAACAAACAGCTGCTTTCTGTTCACTGCTAAGCCATCTTTCCTCTTGGCTTATATAGAAGCTTAAACACTGGACACTTTCAGGCAGATTTGAGCCTTTTTTCCTGACACTGTATCCTGCCTTCCACAGCACCAGAAACACCTGCACTTTACTGAATGCCACTGTGGAAAAGTGTGTGAGGATAATGGGCTGACACAGGACGCGGCTCCGGGGGCAGGACCAGCAGTGGATGGTGAGTACCTGGGTGCTACTACTGGCCTTGGAGATTCTTTGTCATCTGAGAAATTGCTTGGAATATTATCACAGAACTACTGGTGAAAGGATGGTGAGTGCAGTTGTCACAAGGATACCCACAGTCAGGGCCCAGATGTTCAGGCACTTGGCGGTGGAGGCACAGGCCTGGGCCCCAGTCAGGTCGCCAACCATCTTCCTGTCCCTAGACTGGAGGAGAAGAGATGGTGAGGGGAGCAGGATCCCTCCGCTGAGAGCCATGTGCTGTGGCTCCCACTCCCCCCGGCTCCTCCCCACTCTGAGTTCAGGGACCACCCTCTCGCCTTCCTCACTCAGGCTCAGACTCTCCAGGGGCCTCGGGGCTCATCCTCCTTCTGCCTGGGCCCCAGCACAGGCTGTTCTCCCCACCACGGGGTGAAGTCGCCTGTGAGTTCCCTTCTCACTTTCTGGGAGAGCCTGGGTGCCAGTCTGGAAGGTGAGGGTGTAATTTCTGGTACTGGGCTGTAGGGAGAATTGCTCTGGGCTAGTGGATCGCTGGGGACAAACTCTGAGCCAGCCAGCCTCCTGGAGCCTCCTCCTAGACCTGCACTGGGCGGATTCCCCAAGCCACACACACACAGATCACACAGACAAAGCTACTGACGTGGGCACACACGGGACAGAGGTGCACACAAACTCACACAGGGACACACGAGTCCCCACCCCAGGCAGCTTCTGGGCAGGTGGAGCTCCAGGCTCACCGGGACCCTCTGAGCGTTCCCTGGGGCCATACGCACCTTCACGGAGTAGGCGAACGCTATGAAGCCCAGGCAGCAGGGGTTCATGAAGAGGGTGTTGAACAGGGACCAGACGACATGGTCGGGCACGGAGGTCTCGCTGTGGATGTGGGTCACGGCTGACTTCACACCGTGCTCCTCCTTGATCGTGTCTCAGGTTTCCGGGAAGCTGATGTTTTTGGTGGTGACGAAGGCTTGGGAAGTGTGGTTCCTGCTCTCTTACATGACCGTTTGTGGAGTGACGTCTGGATGCCGGGGGACCGTCTCTGACAGGCCTTAGCGGGGTCTTCTCCGGCTCCTTGACCTGCTGGACTCAGGGGTTCTGCTTTCTTAGAAGTTTGTTTCCTGCTTGGAAATTTGTGAATTGTGTGAGGTCTGAGGAGGGGGTAACAAATTTCTGAACGTGAAGTTATACATTCAGGGCGGGCGGACGCACTGGGGGATAAGGAGCCTTCTCTCCAGGACCCCGGCAGGACAGCGTCATGTGACTCCAGCTTCCTCTTGGAGGGGAGTCAGAGGCCCCTGTGAACTTTACTAGACCTGGGAGTCTCCTCACCTTACGCCAGCAGTTGCAGGACCTCACTGTATTGGTTCGGGGTCCCTGCCAGGCCCCCGATGGGCCTCCACACTCCAGGCCCCACAGGGGGCCCCTCAAGCCCTCACCTCTCTTGCCACCGGCTTCCTCTGCTGAAACCTTCCCTTTCTTGGGGCTGCAGTTCTGCTCTATGTGGGTTCAGCGGCCCAAGCCTCCCCGTGTCTCCTGCTGCAGGTCAGAGACCCAGTGGCCACTGCTGCCTGCCCCAAGCAGCCGTCCAGGCCCAGGACCGGGGACCGCGGGGAGCACTGACGGAAGGGTGGAGCTCCAGGCTCACCGGGACCCTCTGAGCGTTCCCTGGGGCCATACGCACCTTCACGGAGTAGGCGAACGCTAGGACCCCAGCCCGACAGCGCCAGGGCGGGCGGACGCACTGGGGGATAAGGAGCCTTCTCCCCAGGACCCCGGCAGGACAGCGTCAGGACGGCAGACGCACTGTGGGATAAGGAGCCTTCTGTCCACGAGCCCCAGCAGGACAGTGTCAGGGCGGCAGACGCACTGTGGGATAAGGAGCCTTCTGTCCACGAGCCCCAGCAGGACAGCGTCATGTGACTCCAGCTTCCTCTTGGAGGGGAGTCAGAGGCCCCTGTGAACTTTACTAGACCCGGGAGTCTCCTCACCTTACACCAGCAGTTGCAGGACCTCACTATTGGTTCGGGGTCCCTGCCAGGCGCCCGATGGGCCTCCACACTCCAGGCCCCACAGGGGGCCCCTCAAGCCCTCACCTCTCTTGCCACCGGCCTCCTCTGCTGAAACCTTCCCTTTCTTGGGGCTGCAGTTCTGCTCTATGTGGGTTCAGAGGCCCAAGCCTCCCCGTGTCTCCTGCTGCAGGTCAGAGACCCAGTGGCCACTGCTGCCTGCCCCAAGCAGCCGTCCAGGCCCAGGACCGGGGACC